CCATAGACTCAACACTGCACAATAGACTCAACACTGCACCATAGACTCAACACTACACCATAGACTCAACACTACCCATAGACTCAGCACTGCACCATAGACTCAACGCTACACCATAGACTCACACTGCCCATAAGCTCAACACTGCACCATAGACTCAACACTGCACCATAGACTCAGCACTGCACCATAGACTAACACTGCCCATAGACTCAACACTGCACCATAGACTCAGCACTGCACCATAGACTCACACTACCCATAGACTCAACACTGCACCATAGACTCAGCACTGCACCATAGACTCAACACTGCCCATAGACTCAACACTGCACCATAGACTCAACACTACACCATAGACTCAACACTGCACCATAGACTCAACACTGCCCATAGACTCAACAATGCACCATAGACTCAACACTGCACCATAGACTCAACACTGCCCATAGACTCAACACTGCACCATAGACTCAACACTACACCATAGACTCAACACTGCCCATATACTCAACACTGCACCATAGACTCAACACTGCTACCCATAGACTCAACACTGCACCATAGACTCAACACTGCACCATAGACTCAGCACTGCACCATAGACTCAACACTGCCCATAGACTCAACACTGCACCATAGACTCAACACTACACCATAGACTCAACACTCCACCATAGACTCAACACTGCACCATAGACTCAACACTGCACCATAGACTCAACACTACAACATAGACTCAACACTCCACCATAGACTCAACACTGCACCATAGACTCAACACTACACCATAGACTCAACACTCCACCATAGACTCAACACTACACCATAGACTCAACACTCCACCATAGGCTCAACACTGCACCATAGACTCAACACTGCCCATAGACTCAACACTGCACCACAGACTCAACACTGCACCATAGACTCAACACTGCACCATAGACTCAGCACTGCCCATAGACTCAACACTGCACCATAGACTCAACACTGCACCATAGACTCAACACTGCACCATAGACTCAACACTGCCCATAGACTCAACACTGCACCATAGACTCAACACTGCACCATAGACTCAACACTGCCCAGATCAACACTGCACCATAGACTCAACACTGCACCATAGACTCAACACTGCACCATAGACTCAACACTGCACCATAGACTCAACACTGCACCATAGACTCAACACTGCACCATAGACTCAACACTGCACCATAGACTCAACACTGCACCACAGACTCAACACTGCACCATAGACTCAACACTGCCATAGACTCAACACTGCACTATAGACTCAACACTGTACAATAGACTCAACACTATACAATCCTAAAATATAATCTTCATCTACCAACTGTGCTTTAAAAGAAAAAAAACTGACAATGTATTATTTCCTACACAGATATAAACTAATGCACCGCGTTGTTCACGCTTGACATCTCACTGTGCAGTCCAGTGTCTCGTGACTCACCCGCCCCCCGGCCTGTACCACCGCGGTGGATGTTGGGGGGGGGGGGAGAGGCGGGGCCCTCCCGGCCAATGGGCCGCGGCGCTCACCAGCTCCACTGCGAGATGGGCTCGCCCAAGTTCCCCCCCCCCACCCCCTCCACTTGGTGGCGGAGTCCGACCACCTGCCCTGCCCCCACCCCAATGGAGGCTTCTTTCTCCACCATCACCACAGCTGCTGCTGCCGGCGGCGGCGGCTTCGTGGCGTTGCTGGCGTCTCTGTGACCCCCCCTCGTCCTGCCCCTTGACCGTGAGTAGCCCCCCCCCCCACCATCACTCGTCACCCCGAGTCCACCAGCCACTTGGGGGTGGACTTCACTGGGAGCGGCTCTACAGCTCCTGCTCTGACGCCGACTTCTCCCGTCACTTACGGCAGCTCAGCGAAGCGTCTCATCGTCATCGTCGTCATCATTGTAATCTGTGTGTGTCACGCTGTGTGTGTGTGTCACCCTGTGTGTGTGTGTCACCCTGTGTGTGTGTGTCACCCTGTGTGTGTGTGTCACCCTGTGTGTGTGTGTGTGTCACCCTGTGTGTGTGTGTGTGTCACCCTGTGTGTGTGTGTGTCACCCTGTGTGCGTGTCACCCTGTGTGCGTGTGTGTCACCCTGTGTGCGTGTGTGTCACCCTGTGTGCGTGTCTGTCACCCTGTGTGCGTGTCTGTCACCCTGTGTGCGTGTGTGTGTCACCCTGTGTGCGTGTGTGTGTCACCCTGTGTGCGTGTGTGTGTCACCCTGTGTGCGTGTGTGTGTCACCCTGTGTGCGTGTGTGTGTCACCCTGTGTGCGTGTGTGTGTCACCCTGTGTGCGTGTGTGTGTCACCCTGTGTGCGTGTGTGTGTCACCCTGTGTGCGTGTGTGTGTCACCCTGTGTGCGTGTGTGTGTCACCCTGTGTGCGTGTGTGTGTCACCCTGTGTGCGTGTGTGTGTCACCCTGTGTGCGTGTGTCACCCTGTGTGCGTGTGTCACCCTGTGTGTGTGTGTCACCCTGTGTGTGTGTGTGTCACCCTGTGTGTGTGTGTCACCCTGTGTGTGTGTGTGTCACCCTGTGTGTGTGTGTGTCACCCTGTGTGTGTGTGTGTCACCCTGTGTGTGTGTGTCACCCTGTGTGTGCGTGTGTGTCACCCTGTGTGTGCGTGTGTGTGTCACCCTGTGTGTGCGTGTGTCACCCTGTGTGTGTGTCACCCTGTGTGCGTGTCACCCTGTGTGCGTGTCACCGTGTGTGCGTGTGGCCCTGTGTGCGTGTCTGTCTGTGTGCGTGCCCCCGTGTGTGTGTGTCACCCTGTGTGCGTGTGTGTCACCCTGTGTGCGTGTGTGTCACCCTGTGTGTGTGTGTGTCACCCTGTGTGCGTGTGTGTCACCCTGTGTGCGTGTGTGTCACCCTGTGTGCGTGTGTGTCACCCTGTGTGCGTGTGTCACCCTGTGTGCGTGTGTCACCCTGTGTGCGTGTCACCCTGTGTGCGTGTCACCCTGTGTGCGTGTCACCCTGTGTGCGTGTGTGTCACCCTGTGTGCGTGTGTGTCACCCTGTGTGCGTGTGTGTCACCCTGTGTGCGTGTCACCCTGTGTGCGTGTGTGTCACGCTGTGTGTGTGTCACCCTGTGTGTGTGTCACCCTGCGTGCGTGTGTCACCCTGTGTGCGTGTGTCACCCTGCGTGTGTGTGTCACCCTGTGTGTGTGTGTGTGTGTCACCCTGTGTGTGTGTGTGTCACCCTGTGTGTGTGTCACCCTGTGTGCGTGTGTGTGTCACCCTGTGTGTGTGTGTCACTTGTGTGTGTGTGTCACCCTGTGTGTGTGTCACGCTGTGTGTGTGTGTGACCCTGTGTGTGTGTGTCACGCTGTGTGTGTGTATGTCACCCTGTGTGTGTCACCCTGTGTGTGTGTCACCCTGTGTGTGTGTGTGTCACCCTGTGTGCGTGTGTGTGTCACCCTGCGTGTGTCACCCTGTGTGTGTGTCACCCTGTGTGTGTGTCACCCTGTGTGTGTGTCACCCTGTGTGTCTCACCCTGTGTGTGTCACGCTGTGTGTGTGTGTGTGTCACCCTGTGTGCGTGTGTGTGTCACCCTGCGTGTGTCACCCTGTGTGTGTGTCACCCTGTGTGTGTGTCATCCTGTGTGTGTGTCACCCTGTGTGTCTCACCCTGTGTGTGTCACGCTGTGTGTGTGTGTGTGTGTCACCCTGTGTGTGTCACGCTGTGTGTGTCACGCTGTGTGTGTGTGTTAGCCTGTGTGCATGTGTGTGTCACCCTGTGTGTGTGTGTCGCCCTGTGTGTGTGTCTGTCACCATGTGCGTGTGTGTGTCACCCTGTGTGTGTCACGCTGTGTGTGTGTGTCACCCTGTGTGTGTGTGTCACGCCGTGTGTGTGTGTCACCCTGTATGTGTCACCCTGTGTGTGTGTCACGCTGTATGGGGAGCGGTAGTGTAGCGGTTAGCGCGCTGCGCTATGAACCTGGCGACCCGGGTTCGATTCCTGCTCACGGCCAACATCAGACGATTGTCTGAACCAGTCCCGGGCCTTCCCTAGGTCGACTCAGCCTCAAATGAGTACCTGGTGCGGTGTGTAAACATTGCCACTAGGGAGACAAAGGCGGTCGGGCGTGGTGCTGGCCACCCACCCCCTCGTGTACCGTTCCGGCCTTCATAGGTGCTTGCTAACAGCACTTGCCCCTACAGTCTGTTAAGGCTATATGGGGGATCTTTGTGTGTCACCCTGTGTGTGTATGTCACCCTGTGTGTGCGCTCCCTCTTGCGTCCCAAGTATTCACTACACAATAAAAATTCTCACGACGTGTCGACTGCAACACGAAACATCGTGAGAATTGTTATTGTTTTATATTTTTATTATTTTATTGTTTCCCTTCTACGCGACTTTACCGAAAGAACCAAGAAGATGAATCCCTGCAGTCACGAAAGCTTTAAATCGAAATTTAACGTCCCGGAGATGAATGAAATTGAGCTGTGGATGAGTAACAGCGCCACTTACGACTCTGTGTGGTGTTTGCTCGCTTTGTTAACGACGCTGCTTTCTTTATTGTTTGCTGTTGTTACAGGCGAGCCCGGCGGCCCCCTGCAGAAGAAGTAAACAAGACGCAACAACAACAGGGAGGAGGGTGGTGGTGGAATGTAAACAAGAACAACAACCCCTACCCGCCACCACGCGGCGTGTTGTCGCGTGACGAAAGTAGCAGCAGCGTCATCATCATCACCACGTGTAGCAGCAGCGTCGTCATCATCCACGCAATGTCTGCCGGCAGGGATGACTCCTCCTCCTCCTCGACCTTCTACAACTGCGAGGAGTTGCACAGCGACTGGCACCAGTCCACGCTGCCCAGCGAGGACATTTGGAAGAAGTTTGAGCTCCTGCCCCCCGCGCCGGACGGAGCGAACGCAACGCCAACGCCCTCGGGCGATCCGAGCCGCGAAGGCGGCGAAGTGGCGAGCCGCGGCCACGTCTGGGACCCCGCCGGCGGCAGCGGCGTGGGAGCCGTGGGAGCCATGCTGCTGCGGGACTGCATGTGGAGCAGCGCCGCCTCCTCGGCCAGAGCCACGCCGGGGCGGCTGGCGCCCGCCGACAAGTCGGCGCCGCCGCCGCCCGCGGTCTCCCGCGCCGTGCCGAGCCCCGCGGCCGCCGCGGTGCCCGCCGAGATGCTGCCCTTTGAGCCGGGAGGGCGGCACCTGCCGGCCGAGGGGCGGGAGGATGGGGAGACTGTCGTGGGCGGGGCGATGTCTCCCGGCAACGAGACGCGCAGTGATTCGGGTGAGACTTGCACGCTGTTTTGCGTGTTTCTTTATTCGGTCGTGTTTAGCGCGGGTCGTGCCTTTTGTTTTTTTCGGTCAAGTCACGCAGGTCAAACATGAAATTAATCACGACGTTTCGGAGGCAACTCGAGCTTCCATCTTCAGGTGGAACAGTTACAGCAAAATCACCGTATCAAGTGAAGCGAGCTCTGAGAGACACGAGATTACATAGAGGTTAAGAGGGGGGGGGGGGGGGGGAGCCTAACCCCGAACCCTGACCCCTAACCCCTAACCCCTAACTCTAACCCCTACCCTAACCCCTGACCCCTAACCCCTGACCCTAACCCTAACCCCTAACCCTGCAGTGAACTGTGAGGCTGCTAAAGTTGGTCAATGACATCCTTCCAAAAAGTATGGATCCTTGCAGTCACGAAAACTTCTCGAATTAGCTTGTTCATCTTCGTTTACAACAAACTTACAGTTGTCAAGCTCACTACACGAATGTTGCGTGTGTACATTTCAACAGGTCCTGTACCTGTGTAATGGGTTCCGGAGACACTTGTAGAAGTAACTTCTTTATTACAATACAACACCTCAACAGTGCTGATACTCTGTTATAGCCTAGGTACACAGCCTAGGTACACAGCCTAGATACACTACTCTGGCTACGCTCTGGGGTCCTCTGGCTACAATTACCCTAGGGGAGCTACCTGACCCAACCCAGCCACGGTGGGGGGGTCTGGACTCGGAACTCGCCCTTACAAGGACGTAGAGCCGGGAGTCCCAGAGTCCCACCACTGGCCCTCACAGCATCCCGGCCCTTACAAGGACAAGCGGGACGAGGGGGTACAGGGTCCTAAGCTGACTGGCTGGCGGGTCTTGACCTGCGACTGGCCCCGATCGTCCAGGGAGCTGCCCTTTTATGCCTCGTGCCCAACGAGGGGTGGGGCTGTGTGTGCCCCCAGATATCCCACAGAGCACACACAGCCCCCCCCCCGTTGGTGGTGCCAAGGGGCTTAGCTGTCTGGGGTGCCTGGGATTCTAGCGCCTGGCGCCGAGGGCTTCTCTGTCTAGGGTCCCAGAGCCCCCAGCAGCTCCTCCCCTCTTCTGGCACTACACCTGCGCAGTTTAGGTTTATAATGTTGCATTTTTCTACATTGCGTTGCTGACGTATACGTGTTTCCCTTCTGCAGACAATGACGACGACGCGGAAGATGGAGAGATTGACGCGGTGACCGTGGAGAAGTGGAGCCACGCCACAGCGAGCGTGGCGTTACGCGCCGTGCACAACACAAACATGGCCCCCCTGTACAACGACAACAACCGGCGGCAGCGGCGGCAGCAGCGGCGGCGACTCGCCCCGCCGGCGTCCACGCCGCCCGTGCACCAGGAGCAGCACAACTACGCCGCCCCCTCGCCGCCTGCGCGCGGGGCGAAGACGCCGCCCCCGCCGGCGCCGCGGGGCTCCGCGCGGAGCCGGGGCGCCACCGGCGGGGCCGGCTCGTCCCGCGCCGTCTCGACGGGGAGCGGCGGTGGCCCTCGGAGCTCCGGCGGCTCGGAGGGGCTTGGCGAGCGGCACAACGACCAGGAGCGTCGGCGGCGCGACTCCATCAAGAAGGGTTTCCAGTGGCTGCGCGGCGGCATACCGGAGCTGGCGCACGACGAGAAGGCGGCCAAGGCGCAGATCCTGAAGCGCGCGATAGAATATTCGCGCACCCTGAAGCGCGAGGAGGAGAGACTCAAGGCGGAGAAGCGGCGCGAGCAGATTCGACGTCGGGAGCTGCTGGCGAGGCTGGAAACCCTGAAGAACTCGTTGGCCGAGCGGTCTCCATTTGCATCTCGTTTAAAGACTTTAAACCGAAAGTTACTTTTGTTTTGATATTGGACGAAAGCCTCTGGCGACCGGCACAGTTGAGCCTCTTTGCCATTGAGTGGTTTTGTATGCACCGTGACCTCGTTTGCAACGTAATGCCTCTGAATATTTGACTGCCAAGGTTTGAGTTGATGGGAATGGTAAGTTGTACCTCAATAGACATTTCTGCACAAATGATGCTTCAATGTGGCAAATACTGCCATTAATGCTGTTCCATGGCGATTTTCACTTTTGATTTGTTTAATTTTTTCATATAAAACATGGAAAATGTAGGCACCAAAAGTTGTTACGTAATTACCCAGGGTTTTTGTAAGATTTAGCGCGAGTAACTTTTTGAACAAAGTTGTTCCTGTCAATAGTGCAAAAGTTACATTTAGTAACCTTTTTTGAATGTCCCTTAAACAAGGGGTGTTGTTGCTTACTTTGCATCGCTGATAAACTCGGTCTTTTGCCGTTGAGCTCAAAGCGGCCTTAGCAGCTGCGAAGCGTTCGTTGCAGCACTTTGTGGACCTCGCTGTATCTTTATCTCTTATTGGAACGTAAATACAGCCCACAAGACACCAAGTGCCTCGTGCGTGATTGTGTTGCACCCTGTTGCACCCTTCACTTGCTAACGCGCGGATGTAGAAGGGACCTTGGCCAAGTTGCACGTGTCGGCATCTCAGACGCCGGCAGCATCGAGCTGCTGCACCAGCTTCTAGCGCAGTCTCGCCTCGCGCTTCACGCGCCCCACTCGGGTGGGATGTTGGCCCATTCTTGGTTTTGGTGGATGTTGAGAACTTTAAACCGTGACCTCCGTACCGTCTAAACCAGGGGTCCTCAAACTACGGCCCGCGGGCCACATTCGGCCCGCCGAGGACATTTATCCGGCCCATGGTCACTAATTGGGCTGCGCTTGTGAGCACTAATTTGGCTGCGCTGGTGAGCACTCATTGGGCTGCGCTGGTGGGCACTGATTGGGCTGCGGTGGCGAGCACTGATTGAGCTGCGGCGGTGGGCACTGATTTGGCTGCGCTGGTGATCACTGATTGAGCTGAGGCGGTGGGCACTGATTGAGCTGCGGCGGTGGGCACTCATTGGGCTGCGCTGGTGAATGGTTCAATGGGCCAATTGACTGGATTTGCCCGCCAGGCCTAAGGCTGCCAGCCCTCCCCTGGCTGGGCTTGACTGGCTCTCCCTCCCTCAGCTCCCTCACTTGCCCCTCGGCTCCACTCTCAGTGATATTCCTGTGTGCTGAGTAAATGATAGAGGGGTAATAACAGATTGATCTCTGGAGGGGCTGCCTGCTGTTTTCCCGTGCTAGTCAGTGACAGACAGCCGAGGAGTAGGAAACCCAATTTAAATGACAGTAAGTGCATTTATATTCTGATTGCTATTCAATTATATGAGGTTATATGTTGTATGTTGTGTAAGCCCCGGTTCATACTGTTGCGATCTCTGAGCAGTGCGAGTTCAGCCATATGCTTGTATGGCTGAACTTGCATTAGATTCGGAAGAAAAAAAGGCACATGTGCCTTTTTTCCTGCAGTGGATCGCATGGGTCTTCTCCCCCATGCGATCATATTCCTATGCGAGTTCGCAGATCGCACTGCGATCTGTGAACAAAACTGCAGGTGTAATTAACTTTTAATGGCACCCACACCAGTGTGAGCCTGGGGTAAAAGTGGAGTTCCCCCAATCAGACTGCATTGATGGGCAGTGCAGTCTGTATGTCTCTGTGTGGGCAAAGTTATTGCTGCTATATTGTTTTTGTAGCGCTGTATATATATTGGTATTTTACTAATAGCAATTTTGACTCCCTAGAAAACAATGATGTCAAGAAAGAGAAAAATTGACTCGGAGTGTAGGATATTCAAAAAACAGTGGACTTATGATTACTTTTTCATGCAGTACAAGGAAAGAGCTGTGTGTCTGATATGCCAGAATATAGTGTCTGTGTTCAAACAATACAATTTATGTCGACACTATGAAACTCAACATAAAGATAAATATGATTGTTTTGTCGGAGAAGTGAGAAAAGATAAAATATTAAAACTGAAAAATACATTAACTCCGCAAAATACTTTTGTGAAGCAGAAGCAGCTAAATATTTCATCACTGAAAGCAAGTTTTCAAGTTGCCAAGCTAATAGTGTGCACTGGCAGACCATTCGTTGAGGGAGAATTTGTTAAAGAATGCCTTCTTTCTGTTGCCAAAGAGATGTGTCCAGAGAAGGCCGATTTATTTAGTACAGTGAGTCTTTTAGGACCTACAATTACACGGAGGATTGAATAAATGGGAGACAATTTCCATCAGCATTTGCAAAACTCCACAAAAAAAACTTTCCTATTTTCCTTGGCACTCGACGAAAGCAACGATGTTCGTGATTCTGCACAACTTCTAATTTTTATTTGTGGGACGAATGACTATTTCGAAGTCACAGAAGAGCTTGCTGCACTGCAAAGCACCAAAGGAACAACTACAAGAGAGGATATCTATGAAAGGTTTGCCAAACTGTGAATGGTTTGGAGCTGAACTGGGCTAAACTAGCCAGTGTGACAACTGATTGTGCTCCTAGCATGGTGGGGTCTAAGAAAGGAGTAATTGCTCGCATTAACCAAGAGATGGACAAACATAACCATTCTCATCCAATAGCCATACACTGCCTCATCCACCAACAAGCGCTGTGTAGTAAATCACTGAAGTGGGACTGTTAACTTCATTAGAGATCATGCACTAAACCACAGACAATTTCAGGAATTTCTGTCCGAGCTAAATGTTGACTATGAAGATGTTCTGTACCACACAGAAGTCCGTTGGCTGAGTCGAGGGAGAGTTTTGAAACGTTTCTAGGACTTACTTCCACAGATTACAGCTTTTCTGTTTTCAAAAACAAAAAAGTACCAGAGCTCAATGATGCAGAATGGAAATGGCACCTTGCCTTTCTGACAGATGTAACAGAGCTACTCAACAGTTTCAATGTGCAACTTCAAGGAAAGGGGAAGCTCATCTGTGATATGTAATCACATGTCAAAGCATTTGAAGTAAATTAGGCTCCTCATCAAACAAGTGAAGGAGGAAAACTTCTGCCATCTCCCCACAACTCAAATCTGTTAGCGGAAAAACATTGGTTGCATTCCAAACAAAACATGTGTGGATTCACTGGAAAAATTGCAAAAGGAGTTCCAATTTAGATTTAAAGAGCTTCATCTCCATGAACAGGACATACAGCTTTTCCATAACCCATTTTCTATTGACATTGAAAATGTGGATACAATTTACCAAATGGAACTCGCTGAACTGCAGAATTGTGACTCTCTGAAAGACGCATTCAAGTCAAGCAGCCTTCATAATTTCTATGCATCTCTCCCCTCTGAGACATATCCTCATCTCAGGAACCATGCACTCAAAATGGCAACCATCTTTGGCAGCGCTTATGTCTGTGAACACACTTTTTCCAGAATGAAACATTTGAAATCTCCAACCAGATCTAGACTAACGGATGCACACTTGCATCACTTGTTACGACTAGCAGTGACAAATATGGAACCGGACATTGACCATCTCATTAGCCAAAAGCAGGCCCATAGTTCCCATTGAAATACTGGCAAGTTTGTTGATTTAACTTTACTTGTTCTTCATTTTAAATATTGTATGTTCCCGTTTTGTTTCTTCACTTCAAAATAAGATATATGCAGTGTGCATAGGAATTTGTTAATAGTTGTTTTTTAACTATAGTCCGGCCCTCCAACGGTCCTGAGGGACAATGAACTGGCCCCCTGTTTAAAAAGTTTGAGGACCCCTGGTATAGAGTCTTGACGAGGGAGTTTTTCTGGGATGGATGGTGGTGGGAATCCGGTTTTAGGCAAGCATCCGTGTGGGTGGCTTTCCTGTAGACAGAATGGCTCATTGAACCATCAGGTCTCCTTTTAATTAGGACATCCAAAAAGGGTAGCTTGCCATCTTTTTCGACTTCCATGGTGAATCTGATGGCTGGGTGTATGGAATTGATGTGGTCGAGGAATTGGTCTAGAGCAGGCCGGCCATGTGGCCAAATGACAAAAGTGTCATCTACGTACCTCTTCCACAAGGTCGGGCATAGAGTGGCAGTCTGGATGGCGTCTGTCTCAAATTTCTTCATGAAAACGTTGGCTACAACCGGAGATAGGGGGGAGCCCATTGGGGTACCCTCAGTTTGTTTGTAGAAAGTTCCATTCCAGGTGAAGTATGTATTGGTTAAGCAGTGTCTCACCAGGGGGGGGGGGGTACCCCAGCATTCAGTCCTTGATGAATCAAGTCTTCAATGATTGCGATGGTGTCAGGTACAGGAACTTTGGTGAATAAGGAAACCACATCCAAACTGACAAGCAGGTCGTCTGGGGACAGGGAAATCCCTTGATTGTCGATACCAGATCAGTAGAGTTTAGTACCGCAGAGGTGTTTTTTCCAGTGAAAGGCCGTAGGATTTCAGACAAAAAACGAGCCCTTCTACGCGACTTTACCGAAAGAACCAAGAAGACAAGTCCCTGCAGTCACGAAAGCTTTAGAGATTTCCTCGATTAAGTAGATAATTCAGTGTGTAACAAAAACATGTTTTATTGTTGTCCCTGTGTAGTAAAGTGTTATTACCTAATAGCTAGTGCCTCAAAAGTAGAGAAAGTGGGCTCTTAATACTCCACACAAACGTTGCTTGTGTGACCCAGGACACAAAAGCGAAGTGAATAATCCACTCCATTAATAACAGTGTCACAACAACATTGTCCCTTAGTAGTACAGTTTTATTATCTAATAGCTTATGTCTCAAAAGTAGAGAAAGTGGCTATTGTTAATCTCAACAAATTCTAAATTTGAAGCTTTCGTGACTGCAAGGATTCATACTCGGAGGTTTTTTTCAGTAAAGTCACGTAGGTAGAAATAAATAAAACTAAATAAATTAAAAATAAATTTAAATAAAATCTCCTCACAAACGTTGCTTTTGTGACCCAGGACATTGATAAATTTAACTATTTTAAATAAAAAAACGTGGCGTGCATTTGTGTCATCCCTTCACGTAAAGTCCTGCTCACAAACGCAAAGTTTGTGTGGAATAATACTATCCATTAAACATACTTTGTAGCCATAACCAATTTAGCAACACACAACACTTTACTACGCAGGGTCAGACCTCGTGTTAGGTAGTCACCCGGCAGCGGTGTTCTAGTTGTTGTTGA